AGCTGGAAAGCTCAGGTACTCCAGGAAGAAGGAAGATCCTGTGGGGAGGGGCTGGCCCAGGCAGTGTGGCCCTCAGATTTTGGGGGACCTGGAGGAGCTGAGCAGGTAGGCAGGGGATGGAGTTAGGGAGAGAACTGGGAGGGAGGTTAGGGACAGAGATGGTCCCTGAACTCCTCAGGATGGCCTTGTTTCCTACAGGATGCTGGGAGCAGAACTGCACTCAGGGAGAGAATTGTGCTTGTTAAAAAATAAGACAAGATACAATGGCACTTTTTGAATATGACTACAGGCCCTGTCGATGTCTGAGTGGGTTGGGATCTATGAGGAGAGTAACTGGGGAATGTGGGGTGGGAGGAAGAGATGCAGCACCGAGCAGAGTGGGGAGGGGAGGGTTTGGAGCCACAGGAAGCTGCTGAGGGGTGGCCACGCCTGGAGATCCAGGCCAGGTACAGGGAGCCCTGACGTTGCAGGCTGCTAGTAGAGGTGAAGTCGTCTGTGCGGCCTCAGGGTGCTCGTTCTGCAGCCCCATCTGCAGCACACCCAAAGCCTGCAGCCACAGTGTCTGCAAGACATCGAGGAACAGGCACTGAGTCTCTGCCATAGTAAGTAAAGCCCAGAGGGAGGGGAGACGTCCACGAAGGCAGAGGGCACAACTAGGTGACATAAAAACAGGCACCCTTGGAAAGTCACAGAAACATGGGGAAATCCTGACCTCGGAGCAGGAAAGCCATACACTTTGGACCAATGTTAGTCAAATATTAAAAAACAGACAACCACTGTCACTCTTGGCTATACATGTGAATATGTCATGTGGCATCATGATGTTTGTATGTATAGGTCCTTTTTAGAATACAGTGGACAGATATGCTATCTTTAGGGGGAAAAAAGGGTTGCTCATTCTGGGGGCTATGCTGGGTTTGGGAGTCTAAAGCGTATAATACATTTTCATGGTCGTTTTTCTTGCCTAAGGCCACTACTTAGCCTAACATTTTGAGATTTTCTACAGTCTCCTTTTCATCAAGACTGCAAACTAGATGGGAATGGCGTATGGGGCTGCAGAACTCGTGTCTTCACCCACTGTGCAGGGAGGTGTTGGAGTGTTCTAGAGATCTCAGTGCTCACAAACAGCTGAGCTTGTTTTATTCCGGTGTCACTGAAGAGCAAAGAAAAGAAACTCACCCGGAATATCCTGAACTAGGGGAGGCTCTTGGAAGTATGTAGATGTTTCCTGGAGGAACTTGAGGTGAGGTATTCCAGCCAGGTCTCTGAGAGAATGGGAAGTGGAGAACAAAGGACAGTTCCTGTCCACTGGGGACTGCATGGTCTCTGTTTCTTCTAGGTGCATCTCTTGTCTTCCTTTACAAACAGCTTCCTCTACCCCAGCACGTCCAGGATGCTTCAGCTCTGCGCTGGCCGACTCTCCACTAGAGAGTGCCACAGAGGCCGCAAGGCCCCCAGGGAACTTTAGTCTAGATTCCTGGAAGCATGACTCTCACCGTTTTGTCACTGTTGGCTGCAGGGAGGGGAGTCTCCCTCAACACCAGTCATCAGTATCTGGGAGCAGAGATGGGTCGGGCGGTACCAGTGTGGCTGCAGGACACCAACTGCTGCAGGTGGGTAGTTTTCAAAGGATGAGATGCAGGTTTAGAATGGATTCGTATGTACAGATTTCAAATGTACAGGTTTCAAACAAAAATAGTGATAGGAAAATATTCACCTGTCTGCTTGTGCAGCACTGCTAAGTTCCAGTTCTCTGTAGCAAGGAAAAGATGCTGGCTTCTCAAGCATTGCATCTGTTTGGCCTCATGCCAGATGCTTGTATCTTATCTCTCTTTCCTCTATCAGCCACTTTGGGCAGAAGACACAGCCTGCTCTGCGGTATGATTAGTAACTCACTTCAGTTCACCCTGATGCTGTCTGCTTTCTTTAAGGATAGGAGGGATCGACAGCCCACTCTGCTGTCAGAGCACCCTCTTTAGTACCCCGGGGCCTCCAAAGCCCTTGTCTCTGGGGCGTGTGCTAGATGACCTGGAGAGGCCCTGCTAAAGTGGCCAACCACATCTGGCTGTTAACTTTGCTGCTGCAGGATCCCTAAGAGGGCTATAGAGCCATACAAAATCATCCTGGGAAGAGACTGCTATTCACAGAAAAGGCCTTTAGGAAAATAAATGGACCCAGTAGAGGAGGTGGCTTGGACAGGACAGGTATGTAGGCAAATTTTGTTTGCATACAATAGCAGAGGCCTCTGCACAGAGACCCCTGTGCTGGGCTCACCTTTCACAGACTTGTGAATACACACTCTCACACATCCTTATATAACTTGTACCTGTGTATGCAGTCATCCCTCACGGTCCAAGCTTCCACATCCACAGATTGAACCAACTTCAGAGAAAAACTACTGTGAAAACAAAGATGTATCTGTACTGAGCATGTACAGCATTTTCTCTTGCCTTTATTACAGCACAACAGCCATTTACATGGCATTTACATTGGGAGTAATCTAGAGCTGATTTACAGTCCCCAGGAGGATGGATGCAGGTTACACACGAACACCATGTCATTTTATATGAGGGATTATGGTGTCTGTGGAGGGTCCCAGGACTCATCCCCTGAAGCACCAGAGCCGACTGTGTACATCATGTCCACATACACACGCATGCGGAACACTGATCTGCCTCCCATGTGTCAGACCAGGATTTAATCTCAGTTCTGCCTCTGGCTATCTGTGCAGTCCTCAGTAACCCATTCTGTCTCTCAGATGTTCCCTTTGTGCTTCAGCAAAATGAAAGTAATTATAGACTTTCAAAGGTGATGTAAAAATAAACAGGCAATATCTGTAAAAAATTAGTGCTTGCCATATATATTGAGTTATGGATACATTTAAACCACCTATAAATCATTATTAAATTACATGTACATAAACCCACATACACGTTCATTCATGTATTTGCATGCATACATGCGTTATGTGCCCATATTCATCTTTACATATACAAGCACATGGCAGCTGTAAATACTGACACACATAATAATTTTGTGGACCTCCATGGACAGCATTCAGATGCATATGCGCTCATGTACATATACTTGTTATATACTTATGCATACATGTCCATGCACATATATCACCCCACTCTCAGAGGCACCAAATGAGAGACATACACATATACATACATTCCTTTAGAGAGATGTCACATGCCTGTGTGTACATACATGTGAATGCATGTATATATATAAAACACATTTACATAATAATGCATCTTTCATAGCAAGATAAGTCAATATAATTCACTACATGGCTTTGAAAATAACTCTGATTCATAGACTGTATTGTCTATGGTATGGAAAAGTTGTTACTTCTTTTGGGGAAAAGCCCCAGGGTGTAGACATACACTGCGTCACTTTCACTAGCTTCTGGGTGGTGGGGGAGGCCATTTTAGGTGTGGAAGAGAAACATAGCTTCAGGTCTAGAATGATAAGCCGGGTCCCTCCCCAGCCTGGCATAAAAAGCACCTCTGGGCACTTGCGAGATGGGCTCTTCTCATGCAGAAGTTTCATTTTTAGCACTGGCTCCAGGGAGGCCAGGTCTGGTTAGCACAGGTGTTTCGCTTCCTTAAGTCACTTGTTCCCAGGCGAGCCCCAGGGAGCTGCAGTTTTTACTCCTGAGTGTGGGAGGGCAGTGGTAGCATGAAGAGGGCTTTGCTCAAGACCTCAGTGTCCTCCCAGCCTCTTCAGACAGCCGAGAGTCCTTGGGAATTTAAACTAGTGTCTCGTGGCTCTGAGGACATACCATGAGTTTGTGATCGGTGCCTAGTGCTGCCTGACACCCAGGCCATCTGCGCTCAGGCGCTGAGCTGTGGCCGTGGGTCTGAGCATGGTCTGTGGATTTGTGCAGCTGACTTTGGGACAATGGCCAACATTGAGGTCTGAAACTGCAAGCAGAGCCGGTGGGAGGCAAGCCTTCTCTGAGGAGCAGTTGTGCTCCATGAGGACAGCAGGCTGCCTCATTTCTATGGTCTCACTTCCAATTATAAATTATGAAGGAGTTGAAGAAGAAAGACTTTGATCCGTCAAATTTATGGATTCAATAACTGTTGCCATTTCAGACTGCAGGGGTCCCTGGGGATTCTTTTTCCATGTATGCTTTGGTAGTATGAGAGAGAGAGAGAGAGAGACAAATGTTAAATATTCTGTCGTATTTATGAAATGTCAGATGTGATTTCCAGAGTAATTACATGAATATTGAATAACCTTGCTGAAATTTACAACTGTGCAACTGAGTGTTTGGGAATGTTTCTTGCCAGCAGCCCCCTGTGGACAGGACAACAGCCTGGGCACAAAGGGCACACCCTACCTGGCCTGCTCTCACCAGTGCAGCTGGACAACTTGGCCTGGCTTCACAAACACTGATCATGCTAGAGGCCCCTGTCAGCCCCTGCAGACAGCTTCAGCATAACAAGGAGACGTGGCTGACATCATATATCCCATGACAATGAAAAAGACAGCTTTACTGTAACTTTCCCCAGACCAAGTGAAGTAGCATACGGCACAACAGAATCCAGACCAGTCTCTGGGGAGATGATTCACCTCACTGATCTGAAATTCTGGCATATTCTTTGTCCAAGTAGTGTGTTGTAGGCTCCAGCAGGAAACTATATAGCCTTAGCCTTTAACTGAAGCAATGTCATGTGTGCTTTCCCACCCAGAGACCTGGAGCAGTATTGAAACACAGGGTTGTGCTATAGCTGGTGCTTCCTTTTTCATGACATTTCAGTTAAATTAGTTTAGTGTTCCATGAAGCATCCTCAAGTCTTCTTTCTCTTTAACCACCAATCATCCTTCCTTCACAGATTTGGCTGCCTTCACCTCAAAAGTGAAGCTCACAGCCCTAGTTTGCTTTGCTCCAGAGTGACTTTTCTTTATGGTATTATAAATGTGGTTATAACTTTTCTTTATGACATCATAACTAGACTTTGCAGATGTGGCACCCACTCTTCCCCCATAAACCCTGAGCTCTCTGTGCTCAGAGCCCTCCCTGCTTCCTCGGTCCCTCATACTTTTCCTGAGCCTCAGTGCCTTGGTACATTCTGCTTCCTCCACTCCAAGGTGCTTCTTTCTCTTCTCCCTTAAAACTTCCCTCCCTAACCTTTAAAGTCCAGCTTGAGTCCCAAAGGCACCTGATCTTCTGGGAAAACATGACCACCAAATATCAACTCCAGGCCTATGAGGTATGGACAACAGAAGGACTCAGCTGCAAAGCAATGGCACCAGGAGTTTCTGGTGAAGGGAATGGAAAAGAGGGATGATCCTAAAGAGGGGATCAAGTGATGGATGGAAGAGGAACTGAGAGGCCCTAGAGGGAAAGGATGGGTTCAGCTGGCTCTGCTCAGTATGCAAGAAGCCATTAAGGAGTCTGGAAGGGAAGCTGATGCGGAAACAAGAATGAGTTGAATATGGGGAGGTCAAAGAAAGGTGTGGCACTGTCAGAGGACACCAGAGGTAGAAAAAGGCCTAGGCATGCAGCTACACCAGCTACGTCAATCACTTTTAGGCCACAAAACTTGAGATCCGCCTTTGCTTCTGTAGAGTTATCCCAGCCCCTACGTGGAATGGCCACCTCTTCTGCCACGCAATTACAGGGTTATTCAGCAGCCACACCCCTCTTTCCACTGCTTTCATGCTGAGAGGGCTCTTGATAGACGTAGGGAAGCTCTGCTAATCTCTGCACTGAAGAGTCTCTGGCACACACGCCTTTGATTAGGTCATGCCATAGCTTAGTAGTCCTTTATTTTTCCCTTATCATCCTTTATTTTCCTATCCATTTAAAGCTGCCACCTTGGGTCATTAAAGTCTCTTAACCTAAGAGTCTTTGCTTCTTCATCTCCTCTTAGTTTGAGGCACAGCTACGGATTCTTTCTCTTATCTACTGGTGCTCAATCTGGAGAGTTACTCTTCTTGAGACCCACAAACCAGACAGACTTTGTTTAACTGAACAAAAGTCTGATTTATTTTGGTTACATGTTGCATTTCAAAAATGCCCAAAGCCCTCAAGTTAGCAAATTATATCAAGGGTAGGCCTGAGTATCAACATCTTGCCAAAGAGTGGGCTGAAGTTTATGCCTCAGGTCCTTCTCTCACTTCTCTGGAGTACATCCCAGCAATGCATAGTGGGAGGTGGGCATTACAATAGAAGAAACTGCTGGGCATAATGGCACGTGCCTGTAATCCTAGCACTTGGGAGGCAGAGGCAAGAGGACTGCTTTGAGCTCTAAACCAACCTGCGCTACATAGTGAGTTCAAGGCCAGCCTGTACTACATAGTAAGAACTTGTCTCAAAAAAAAAAAGAAAGAAATAAAAGAAAATAGAAGAACCTGAATGAGGAAGTTGTATAGCATGGAAGAAGATCTACATCTATATATCTGATATCTGTATCTCTGTATCTATCTGTCCACACCACTTATATTAGCACACACATAAAAAATATATATGTATATTTGCTCATTATTTCAATAGCTACATCTCATGATGCGATTGTGTCTTAAGGGTTTTATTCTATATACACATATATGTATGTATGTGTATGTATATTTGACCATAGACTCTCCATGCCTAGCAGGTGAACATGTGATTTTTTACACCTTTACATTCTTAATGCTAGGTACAGAACCTGGCATCCAGGTAACCCAATATATTTTTTCTTTTGACTTGACAAACGTTCTTGGTTTTCATCAATCTAAATTATGCTTGATCTTGCTAAATTGCACATGCACAGAAAATTCCTAAGAAAATTACAGTACCATTTCTTCTCTCTGAACTTTGAGGATATAACAAAATCTTTACCAGTTTAAATCAACCTCGGAAAAGTGAAGACATTATTGATTCTTTTAATGGGTTTTCCACTTGGATGTTTGCCATTTAATTTTAAAGGTATTCTGTGTTTATGGGATTTTGTTATATAATACAGACCCTTATGAATATGTATATTCATATACAAAATATATAAAATTAGGTTCAGACACAAGATCATGGCTCAGCGTGCACACTGGTTCCTGGGTCCATTTGAGGACAGTAGCACACAGGGGAGTCTTTCTTCTTCACCAGCTGGAAGATGTCTATGGGTGGAGACTTCTCACTCCTGCATTGTAGAGTAGAAAGTACATGACTAACACCATTGCATAAGCCTGGGACAGGCTTGGTCCTCCCTCTCTCACCTATCCTGCAGTGACAACATATGTAACCCAGGGGGAGGAGGCAGACAGTGGGCTGGAAGCTACAGGGAGTGAAATGCATTCCAGGGCATCTGACCGAAGTGCTGCCCCTCCTTCCCTGGTTCTTCCTATTTTCTCTTCTCCTCCTGCGTTTTCCCTCTTTTCAGCCTTTTCTGCTGGTGAGTCTGCCTCCTCGTGCCCTGGAACACCCCCGTCTTCTGCCTCACAACAACAATTCTATCTTGCCCTTGGGGACTTTTGTGCCTTATCAATTCCAGTCTCAGATTTTATGGTCTGCTCAGTTTTTGCAGGTACTGGGATACTGTAGACTGTGGTTTTAGTTTTGTCAGCTCTGAATGATCTCTGGACAGAGAAATTGGTGACAGTGGTAGGGATGGGAGCCTTCAAATACAGAATATGCCTTGAAAAACTCATTTTCATGTGACTTAATTGCATTCTGAAGATCACCAATCTAGTGCTTGCCCTAAACTTTTTGGGATGATAACACTGGCCTAAAGTGCCAAGAGCCTGAAGTAGAAAACATTTTTGCAACAGTAGAGAGAGAATTTACCATATTTAACCTGTTCGTATTCAATTACTGATAGAGAAAAGGGAATAACACTGGTTTCTAAGCTTAGATCCCTCCTAATATGCTTCCTCTAGAGCATCATATGAAATACTAAGCCCTTCTCATTGGAATCAGTCATTAACCTTAGGGTTATTTTTAGCTTTGATTGTGCATTTTAAGTAAAGCAACAGAGATACTGAAAGTCAAGATCCTTCTCCTATGTAGTAGTGGGCCCTATGCTGCTGTTTCTGTGGAGACTGAGCAAGATCCGGCTGTGGTGGGCATTGTGCAAAGTGGAAGGTCAGAAAAGGCTTCCTATCGGCACCTCAGGCTATTTTGCATGCTGTCTCTTATGCCTTGGACTATAGACTTCCTCAGCAAAAATGAATGAATGAATGAATGAATGAATTAATTAATTAATGGATGAATAACTGAGTGAATTGATTAAAGCCACATAAACTACTTGCCCAATCTCAGGGGAGATTTCAAAGAAAACTGTGGCAACCATGAAGAATTAAAAAACGGATTTCCTGACAAGAATATCATAAACAATATGATTAGGATAATGCAGTTCGATCCAGGAACAGTTTGTGAGAAATCTCACTTCCGGAAACTGACTTTCTCCAAGAAAATCTATGGGGAAAAACTGTGACCACAAGGTACCAATACCACAGAACCGCACTGCTCAGACTTTAACGTGCACATAGATCACCTTGGAGATCTTGTTAAAATGCAGATTCTGACTCTGTAGGATGAGAAGAGGTATCAGCTTTCTGCTGCTGCTGAAGCTGATGATTTCTGAGCACATGAGAAGTGAAGCTTCAAAGGCAGCTTGTGATAAGCCAGTGATTCTCAATAGATGGTGGGAGTTGGGAGGGCAGATTTACTCCCCCTTCCTGAGAGTGTCTTTCAGTATCAAGGGATCTCATGAGGTGTCATAACTAGAGGGATGTTAGGAGCATCCAGTGGATTGAGGCCAAGGATGATGCTAAACAACCTACAGTACAACCATTGCTGTACGGAATTATCTCGCTCACGATGTCAATAGCGGGAATTTGAGAAATTCTTCTTAAGGGAAAAGAGCACAGGTTCGCATCTTAGAAAATGACCTAATGCAGACCAGCAGAGTTCCTACATACACAGTACGTGTTCAATAATACTTAATGTCAATAGCATGATTTTAGCAGAACTACTTCCTTAGAGACTCATTGAAAAGCAGCTACCCTTATTAAGGACCTATTATTACAAGCCCAGATACATATTTGAACATTTCAGAGATATCTCAGATATTCGGGAAGAGCCAGGGGGACAGATAACACAGTCTCTTTGTAATATTAGGTCTATAATAGGCAGATATTGAGAGCAGCTGTGCTGACAAAGTAACAGTTAGAATGGACAGTTGATTTCAAGAGCTGAGTACTGTGTCTTCCATCATCCCACTGGCAACTGTGCTTTTCATTAGCAGAGTACCTGGCCTTGGCTTTCAAAGACATGGATGTATCTTATTGCTTGTGATTCTGTGGGCAAAAGAGCAAATTTAGCCCAGTAGGAAAGACACAATAGGGGTGATGGAGTGCAAAGAGGGTGAGGTTCACTGGCTCCCATGTGGAGCTTTGGGAATAACTGGGATCTACTCCTTTCGTATATCTCAGAATGGTTTTCATGTGTCTTCGTCTGCCATACCCACCCTGAGACTTCTTTGGCAAACACATAAATGCATAAATATGTATGCCTATATGCACATACACTTATGTTTATGCATACACACATACACACTGCTCCATCAATGTCTCAGCAGATGAGACTTTCTGCTGACTGCCTGTAAAAAGAAAAAGAGCCAGATGGCACAGCTGGAAAAAGATGTCTGTGTTTTTGAAGGTCTATAAAACTCTTTATCATCCCAGCAGGAATGGCCAAGAACCTGGCAGGGCACTGAGGTGCTCAAGAAGAATGCCGAACATCTGCTTGACATGTTAGTGAAGCTTACCAGAGCCATGTCCTGCCCTCTCTCCAGCCAAAGACGGCTGCATGGCAGTCCTGGGACTTGGATTTGGCAGTCCTGGTTCCTCCTCATCTTACCATGCTGTTCCCCGGCTTGTGTGCCCACAGAATTTCACAAAGACAAGTACTGTGAACGGTTGTTACTCTTGCCTGGGTGGAGACAATTAGCATACTCTGTGTGGTACAGTGGCAGAACAGGAAAGAGCAGGGATGTTAGATGGAATTCATCAGTGGGCTAATGGGATTCAAGATGTAGTTGTACTCACAGCCATAATTCATTATCACAAAAGGACACCAAATATAATCAGCAAAGTGAAGAAGCATAAGGATGGCCTGGAGCATGTAGGATCGGCCTCAAGAGTCTTCTCCCATGGGTTCCACGAAAGATGGGTTTAATTCTTTCAGCAACACATAGGAGACATTGGCACTGAGACAGATCACTTAGAGACT